GCTTCATATACTCCGTACACAACTAAATTGGCTTTATAACCAAATCGGATCCTCTACTTCTGTTTCATATCCCAGGGAGCCCAAACCTCTGAACCTTAACAAGTCATGTGGCTGCAATTTTGGGTGGAATCATTCGATGCATCTGATTTGTGGTGTTCTTTTTCGGACCGAGAATAATCAATATTCGATGAAACACGACGTGACTAGTTTACGGACATAGAGTGAATGGTGAACAGCGTTCATATGACACTCATCCGTCTCTCTCTTTATCACATTCTCGACAGTCAAGAGGAATTGCTAACAAAGCCATTTGACTTCTTATTGATNNNTGCAAATCCGAGGAAGAATGAGCTTCGGTGAATCGCCTGTGCAGACCAGCAGCGGACGGCGGATGCACGTGTACATAGTGGAAAGAACTTGTTGACACAGATGATCTTGTAAAGGTCTGCGATCTCCAAAGATACCTTGCAAATGGTTTCAACTGAGGTTAGAGTAAAAAGTCGGCAATAAGGTAATAGAAGCTTTTGCCAAAATCGGCAAGCATGAAACGTCCTTCGAGAGGTGACTAAGACAGAATTCCCATCATCCATGGAATTTGGCAGTTCGATTAACTTTCATCTAACGATGTTTGGCACCGGCTCGAAACAAGTCGCAGTGGACGTCTCGTGAACGTGAATGAATCAAATCGGACCGGGCTACGGGAGTAGGAAACAAGACGGAATGAGCCAAGAACTCGAACTGACTATTGGGACTGTCAAATGAAGTGACAAAATGTGGTTCAGGAGTGCATATTTTGATAAGCCTAATTAACAGACACCTCTTAACTAAAAATGATAAAATGCTATTCCTGAGCAGAATGTTCGATAATCAAATCGTTTTGTAATCGATTTCGAAAATGTTTTGAACTACTTTCTCACATGCCCTGTCCACAATCACCAGCTGGACTTGCTTTCCGAATTTCTCTAACAAACAAAGCGCTGAAAGTGAACTTGTTCGACACTCTGTTTGTTTGTTTGCTTGAAAGGCACAGTTCGTTTGGCTCAACACCGACGGAAGAGTGCGGAAAAACTCTCTGTTTACTCCCATTGATTGTTCCTGTTCAAATTATACGTTCCGTGAGTGTGGGTGTTAAATATCAGCAGGTAGACGTGATAGGCGAGTTTCAATGTCTCACTTTCCTCAAAATTATGTGTAATCTGTATCATGGTTGTGCGTGGCCCACCCTCATATTTCATCTTCCCGGCGTCACATGAGTTCTACAGTTTTCGACATCATTGAAAACAAAATCTGAAAAAAAAGTGAGCTGGTGTTTCTCATCTTTCCAGCAACGAGTTGTTAGTTGGTTCATGGGTTGGGGGGAGAACGGAGACACACCTACTTTCACGAAAGTGATCCGGAATTAGGATCGCCAATGGACGTAGCACATACACCATTGATGGGCTCTGCCGAAAGCAACACCTGGCTCTAGTACTGCCCTAGTGACTAAATGACTAAGTGTAGACACACTGAGGATTTTGTGTACAGATAGAGTCTGAAATATGGTCTGTCACAATCAAAACATACATTTATTTCCATAATGATCGTTCGCTTCCCCTGTTTTTATTCCAAACAAATATACAATCAGCAATTCAGAAATTGGGCTCTAGACAATCGAAAGATTATCTAGGGCCCAAAATGGGGAACTCGGCAAAGGATTGCGAATAGGTGATCAAGACGATGAACCTGGTAATAATTCTCTCCACAGGACACAATGTCGCAATTCATGTTCAGTTCCTTAAAGCAACCGACTGGTTGTTTCATTCTCTTGGTTTGTAAACCAAACCAGAGTAATGTGCATCTATGGCATTCTCTGGGATTTAAACCTATGCACAGATAGTTATAAATCTGCCGTACCTATTATTTTTGCGATTTGGATCGGACCTCAGTAGCACGGCACGCGTGACCAAGGTAAAAGTGAGCACTCACTCATCAATATTGTCAGACATAATGAACCTCATAGGACACAGAAGAATTCGTTGTACATACGGATATGTGTGTATATGTGTATTACAGATCTATAAAGTCAGGCAGACTGTACCGTTTCGGACGGCAGAACTGACAGAACAGCGTCTCTATTCAGACAAATATGTCAGACCGATTTGGAGGGACCCAAACTACTGTTTGTGTTGTTCGCAAGCGGCGTTACAGAATCCAGGTTGGGTGTGAGTGTGGACCGGTGGAAACCAAATTAAGAAAACATTAGCTTAGGAAAAAATGTAAACCATAAAAGCCCTAGTTATTGGCTTGTGAATAAAATAAACAACCACACAGATAAAACGAAAAAACAGACAATCCATCACAGAAATTACATCTCAAGAATATTTTTAGAGTGCAATAGGCTACGGCAGTTTTCTTTTCCATTATCCAATCCCATCACACACAGCTTTGAGGAGAGTGTATTCTTTACTTTCTGGGGCGTGCGTGTGTGCGTGTGTCTGTGTGTGTGTTTGCAAAATCGCCCCTGAATATCGGTTAAGCTAAACCGTTGTACTTTCACACAAAGCACGTGAATATACCACTTAAACCGAGGTATTTCTTCTTTTATATACACGCGTAAATCATATGAAGCTACGTACACAAAGAATAGCCTGGTTCCGACTTTTAGGAGTGGAGTTAGGGGCAAAGAACCGGAATATTTGGTCAATAGACAAATCCCTGCTCACTCACCTCACCCATTTTCGGTATGTTTTTTTCTTTCATTCCAAGTACCCGTAAGTGAGATAATTTACGGTCGCACAGAAACATTCCATCACACATTGCTTCACCCACGGTTGATTTTTTGCCTTCTTCTCGGATGCATTCAATCCCCACCCTGCCCCCCCCCCACCCGACCGGAGGGAGGACAAGGTTTGTGCCTGACCCCTGAGAATCATGTGAGAGATAAGCTATTCTCGTGGCGTCCGGTATGGATCTTCAAAACTGGCGCGTGATATATTTGTCTTACACGGAAAGTGAACAGATATCCATAGAGAGAGGACAATTGCCGGAATAGTACGCAAAGACATTTCCAACAAACATTACTATTGGCTCCAGGGAAGATTCCCGCAAAACCCTCTTTTGATGAACGGCATGGCAGATGTACTCAAAATGGATCACATAAACAAATCATGAAAGATCAAATTAAATTTCCAGATGATTGAAATCAGTCTTTAAGTCTTAGAAAATGGATCATTTACTTAGCGTTTTATTCAAAGTTCAGGATGCTACTGCGAACGAATTCGAGATGATTGAACTTTCATTGCATATAGAAAATGTGAATATCGTGCCCAATTTTCCTTCAAATACAACACGTTGAATATCAAATTATGTTATTCCGATCTCAGTTAATGAATACGAATGCGTCAAACATCGACTAAAATTGCACTGACGCATAAAACATGGCTCAATGTAATTCTACGAAAACCACCTATTGTAAATAAAACTCTTACATTTTCAGTTTTTTTCAGTCCGCAAAATTAAAAAAAAAGTTTGTTCCATAAAAATGATTTAGTTGTTTTTATACCTTCAAAGGAAAATAAAATTTGGGTAGAACCTAGATCGTTTCAGATATACAATCGCTGCCGATGTCCAATGATATCTCCTCCCCCGAACTGTAGTCTTAATGCAGTTACAACTTGACAGTATCGTCTGTCAGCCAACCCGTCTGGAATTCGAACTCAGGACTCCTCACATAGAAGGCACATCTATGTGTGTGTGCATGTATTTCACACACATCTGCGTTCAGACTATGAGCCAAACAAATCACGGTATAATAATATTCATAAAATGTTAAACGTTCCATGGTTTTCATGTGGACGGAATACTTCCAGGCTAAGGCATGTGAATATTCTGGGAGGATTCACAACCGGAGCCTTCGGCTAGCCAAATCCTAACCCGTAAGGCAGCAAGACGGAGTGTAAAAACCGCAATCCATTGGGAGCCGTTGTCCGGTTCATCGCCCATTGAACGGGGCCAAACATCCAAGTTGGCCCATATACCTCGAAGTTCAATTGAGCCGGTAACCACTGCCACAACCAGGAACCTCTGTGTGTGTATGTATGTGATTTGTACGCTTCTTCTTTGTTCGGAACCAGGATTTTTAGCCCACTTCCCTAGTTGAACTGCCAGTGGTTTACCGACCCGGTTATATCCCCGGGTGTTGGCTTTTCGTCCTCTCAGTTTGGTGAGAAAACAGCTCCGCTACGTCAAGGCAGTGAATAAAGCTTCTTCAGCAAAGGCCATCTGAGACGCTTGGTCGTATAGAAGCATTTCGTGAATGCATAAGAAGAAATCCACCCCAAACTATAGTGAGGCTTTCGAAGATTGTCTCTGGATGTGCTTATATTGAAGCTGATCAGAATCACTGATTCCAGTTTGTGGCGTTGTATCGTATATTATCAAGCAATTCCAATCGATGACTCCTCCTGGTTGCTTTCAGTGTGAAGATCAATTTTCACGTGGAGTCAGTCAAAAATCAATCACCCATACCACTCCACACTACCGGCAAAGTTCTGATTGGTGGATGAATTATGCAAGAAATGCAATGATTGGACAAGTTGGAATGTAGACCTTTTCTCTCGTGGGAAACTCAAAACATGATACAAACTATCGTACAGTTCCACAGATATTTCACGATGCTTTCCAGACTGTTTTAAAAGAATATGAAAGAACGAAGAGAAATCTTTGGAAACTGATTTCTTCAAGGTGAATTTGGGACACGATTGCAATTCCTCAAGTGATAATCGAATTGAACCCTGAACAAGCAAAGCAGGAAACAAATAACTGCAGGATGTTCTATTGCCTGTTAATAAATAACAATTCAGAATATGCGTAATTTTAATAAGAGCTGACTTACAGCTGAAGTCTGTTTAAAGAATGGATAAGTGTTCCAATAATGCTGAGCGACCAAAATGTACACACTTTCTTTCTGTTTCCACGGAGCTCATAAATTAAATGGTTGCTATTATCGCATCGCTTTTCAGCAAAACCGGACCGCGAAATATTCCACTAATGCGAGTGATTCAATCGGTGAGGCATACAAAACGACCTGGGGCCGAACTGATCATTCGCGAGTCCTGGATGGTGCACAGAACGAACAAGGATCCAATGGTGAGTTGTACCCAGGAATTCGCCCACAGACTGATCATACCGTTGTCTAACAAAACTGCCACCTTTACTGTAACGGAAGTTGCCCCATTCGATTTCAAGTCATGTGGGAGGAAGTACTTTCGACCTGTACACAAAGTCACTGGATTCTGCTGTTGAAGCACCTATACATAGATATTCACACCTGGTAAAATGCCACACAGAGCTACATAATTGCTGTGTTTAAAAGGAGGAAATAATTCCGAACTTTCTGTATTGATAAATCCGTTCCATAATTAAAGGAATTCATTTCAAGCTATCCACCGGTGGATCCAAACTAAGACACGCAGAGGCCAGTGCATTTCAGGCACACAGTTGAATAAACTACTTCGTGCGTATTGAAAAAAACAAGCAGTGTTTTTTTTCTACTAGCTTCATTTATTATCAATCTTTATATGAGATTGAAACACCTTTTTGGTCTCCACGAGCATAAAATTCCAATTCCTTATTTCCATTCCGTCATGTCAAGTCTTATGCCGACTACCTTAAATGAGCCTCCTCCCACACAATTTATCTGCTTCGGCAAGCGCTGCAAGCCAAAAAAGTCTATCGGATGAACAAGTTTCACTCAAATAGATTTATTGTTTATCCGCTGAATAGAAATTAACATTGATTCAAATCACACTCGTACATTTGTAAACTTTATTCGATTCAGCCAGTCACTACAGTGAAAATCACTTCTGGTCAAGTTTAGAACCAACAATGAATTGAAGTTGTTGAAATGTACACAAAAAGTCACCAAGAAACCACCGAGTTTCGCCCGGATACGTGAATACGGACAGGTAAGCAGAAGAACAATAGCCGTTGAGAAGTAGATTAAAATCCAGCATGTGGACGGTTTGTACAACAACAACCTCAGCATTCTTTTCCATTTGTTTTTTTCGCCCTGTTCATCCATACAGCTTCGACGACATTTTTGGCGCATCGGGGCAAAAGCGATCACAATGTTCTACCACGAAAGAACAAATCGATACTACAAGGTAAGCTGCAGCTTTGGACAATCTCAACCATAAAAGGTGCATCTCAAAGAGTCCAATTTTAAACGGGGAATATTCAGGTAAATCAGAAGTGAATTTGGGGTTGAAGTGTGTTCCATCTCTGTGAACTAAACAAAAATAAAATCAATTATTTCGAAGCTATTCAGTGGTGGAATGTGATGGTGTCACAAACAATCCTCGTGGAAGAAGTTAACCAGTTTTGCCTCTCACTCGGTGTGCACATTTGGTCTTCAAGTCAAGTCGAGGTCGCGTGAAGTATATGCTCTGTGAGCTCCGAGAGCGGAATGTTCAGCAGTCACATAGTTTAACTAGAACCGATGGGCAAGTTAAAATTCCTTTCAAATTGTGGAAGGCAAAAACAAAACCCACTGTACCATGTGAGTGAGTTAAGTTCAGAAGCAATCCGTTCTGGGCTATCAAGAAATAGAAACGTTTTCCATAAATCTTGTAATCAAATTTCCAACCGCATTTTCTCCTTTCAGGATATTCAAATGGTATAACTGCACAAGGCAGCGCCTGGGCGAAGATGGTTGTTTATTACGAATAACGGGCAGACAATCGGTAAATTGGCATTCACCCAACAAAATGTCTCAGTTGGAACGAGTCTTCCTAATTCCCACATGCACACAGGATAGTTAATGGACCGGCCCAAGAGTGGATGCGCATTCTTTTAGTTGCTATTCTGAACACAGCAATTCGCACTAAGAGGTCTTGGCGTACACCAACCTGTTTCTTGTTGGTTAGAACTAGAACCAGAAATGGGAGGGCGAAATTCTTAGAAAATGATGATACTTGTGGATAAAAGCCGAAAAATAAGTGTTTTGATAGATGGGAGCAACAAGAAGACAAATCAAAGGAATGTACGATTTCAAAGTTTTATTTTAAAATGCCAGGAAAACTGTAGGGGAGCAATCGAGTAGAATTGGGAGAAGAAATTGGTGATCAAAAGAGGATGAAACTAACTGTGAGTTTCCCAATTCCTTGAGTTTCTGCAGCTGAGAACAGAGACTTGTCAGTTTGGTCATACAGTTGTGAATGTGTGAGGTGTACCGGAGATTACAGTGATACCCAGATACTTGACGCAGGTTACCGTAAGTAGAGGGTTGTGGCTAAGGATAGCAATATTTTATAGTCAGCATTTTAACACTTCCAATATGTTTACATCTACTTTAGAGTTTAATCAAATAAAATAATCGTTTCATTGTGACGGAGTATTGAAAACCGATTCTCGTAACTTGGCTGAACTGAATGTGATTTCATCTATTTGCTGAGCTTGGCAATTTTTTTCTTATTAATGTTTCACCATTACCCAAGGTGTTGACTTTAATGCCTGTGAAGTGGCTGTGTTCTGCTTAGACCGGGTCACTCATGTATGTTCTTCTCAATCGACTGTTTTTACCCCTTGTTCTCACCGTGTTGGGACATGTTTCGTATATGAACTAATGTGATGGAAGAGGGGAGCGGCTTCGTTCGTTCGTCTTTCTGGATTGTGGTTTCTGTTGCGTTCTCAAGTCACGACGTAATCTTTTTTTGCGTCATATGATCCTTGGGTTGCATTGGCGTGTACACGTTAACCACTTCTACTTGTTTGTTTACTCACTTGATTGAAGAGTGCCCAGTCCTGGGAAATTCCCTGTCGTGTTTGGACCGGGTTTGGTCGATAATTCCCACTGGTTCAAAATCGAATTGATGTCCTTCTTGATCAAGGGCAAGTTTATCTATAAAAGAAACTGCAAAGACTTTCCAAAACACTAGATCGTACTAACTGGAAGAAAACTAACAATAAGGGTGCATGAATATCAGTTAACTGCCAGAAGGCATCATACACTAGCATTGATTTCCCTTCACGACGATAAAGAAGACAAGTTTGACTTTGAATCAATGAGATTCATCGACCAAGCCCGGCTGAAATACGATAAAGAATCTCTCGAGACTTGGCACCGTCTCATCATTGACGAACCTCTTTCCAATCAACTCATTAAACAGAAACTTCCAAAGAGATCACGTATACAGAACAATACAACCCAGTGATCAAATGACCCCACAACTCTAACTTTTTGGCTGCGGACTTTCGATCAACCTAGAAAATCACAGGATTTGCTCCCAAGAAGATCCTGTATCGCATCCGGTCTGACACGAATGTAATTGCTCAAATGGTTGTGTTGGTAGATTTAAGTCTTTTGTTGAAATTTTGAAAAGTTCAGTAGCCTCGGTGGGATTCTAACCCAACAGTGTAAGTTGAATCGCTGATTTGAATGTGAAAGGATCTGTGCTATCTGTGTGACCTCGTATCTCAGCTGGTGGAGTGTGAGGTGTACAAAAAGCGTAGGCGGCGTTCATGCGCGTCTTCGAATCCCACAGAGGTTACTGAACTTTTCACAATTTCAAGGAATGTAGTTGCTTTCAAGTCTGTATTCCAAAAACGAGATGTAGGAGATTCGCTGGAATCTGTGTGTATGATGACAAACAAAAGATCAAGGACAGCTGTTTCACCCTTCTTAAGACTCGTCAGTCTTGGGCACTATGCCCTTGACTGAACTGGAGCAATAACCTTTCGGTTCGGGATTCGAAAGCATTACCAGGGGCCAAATGGCCAATTGAATTTAAAACATTCTTTTCTATTTTTATCCGCGTAAATTTACATAAAACAAATGAATCCACAGGCAGACTCTCTGTTTTGTAAAATTGCATAAAGACAGTAAATCGGTGTATGGGGATTATCGGTAAATTTCATATCATTGAATAAATTGTCCAACGCAAGTGTGCCAAAGACGTCACAACAATCTCCGACAGCTCACCCTACGTCCTCATTAAGGAACTAGATCAACTGCTTTTCTGCGGGCATATTTAGTTCCAACAAAGGTGAATGAGCATTGTTCATTTTGATATCTTCAATTGAATTTAGGGATTGTCAGCTAACAACTGTTTCCGACGCGATGCACCTCTGGATGATCAGATGTCGATGGTGTCAACAGGGCATCTTGACAAAGATACTTTGTTTGCTTTGAGACAGATTGCCACTGTCCATTAACCAACAGAAAAATGCCATTAGGATGAAGCATACGCTGACAAACCAGCGTCAAATGCGGTCACAAGACGAAAGAACTGCATGAAGAGAAAGGTTAAACATTTGTGCCTGCGTACCATCCGTGGATGACTCCGTAGTTTTAAGCTGCACGGACTTTTGTTTACAGTTTTTCTCCATATCCGACAGAAAATAGGTTCTGGTCTATTTTATAACTATTTTCCTGATCCAATAGTAAAAAATACTTTTTTGATCAAGGTCGATCGATCATGCGACGATCACTACCACTAACAGTCCCCGATCCTGTGATCCAGAGGACCGAATACGGCTTACTCCACGTTGCTTATAGTTAATCATTTAGGATTTGCAGACGGGTTACACTACACTGTTAAAAATCCTCCAAACTTGATTTGAAATGAACAAACAAGAAAGGAAGTACATTCAAAGTGGAACTGTGTGGCAATTGCATCTGCTTTGAATGAAAGCAAGGGAATAAATACGCAGCAATTTTGCAGCTTCATGAACCAGGTGGAATTCCTCATTCATTACAAACCGTAAACTACAATAAGAGAATGTTATCTGAACTGGGGAAAATATTCCACACANGGAAAATATTCCACACAGATTTAAGGCTCACTTTACAAGAATTTGACAGAAATCGCCTGTTATTTTAGTAAATAAACAAGTTGTTTCGTGTTTCCTTATAAACAATTTTTGTAACAATTCATTTCTTGTGCTAGGGCACATATTTCGTGCTCAACATTAATTAAATCGATCATCTCCCGGATTAAGTGCATAGCAATCGGTCATCTATGATAGCAGACTCAAAACGTGACGAGTTTTAAAGCAACCAGTTCATCGGTCTTAAATTGGCACAGGCAGACACACCATCTGCACAGGGACATTCAAAACCCAATGGTTCCGCTCCAACGGTGGCGACAGTAGCCAGGGGGGAAGTGGAAGAGATCTACTCTTGATCGAGCAATTTTGATTGGAGAGGAACAGGAACAGGGTCCCGTATCATAAAACATTGATGGGATGACCGCNAAAATCTAACATGGAACGTTGGATACAGTGAACCATTCATTCAACCCCCATCAACACCATCATCGTCCTCTTGTTTAAGCAAATTATCAATAATTCTCAACCGGTGAATTCATTTTTTAATTGCTTGACAGAAATGGAAATATTTTGATTTTATCTCAGGAATAAGCAAATGATCTCTGTTGGATGGGATATTCCACCCATGAGTCTTGCTCCTGATTAGGCATGATTGTCACAGGTTTTAAAGCAAACCGATGCAGAAACACACAAATTGCTTAAAATGTCGGTGTTGCTTTCCTTTTTGGTTAGCCGAACTATCCCCATTCATCATAAGACCGTCTCGTGTACTGTGTTTTTCTCATGTATCTTTACGATTTTCTATTTATTGATAGAGTGCATTGAAAGAGATATATTTAATGATTTTTCGCATGCAAGCATTTGAAAAGTGCCGGTGTTATATTTAGGAACTTGTCGAATTCTCTCGGAATGAATACCTACACGCCGAATACGTTCCACTCCGGATCAAGTTTATTCAGGGCCACATGTTACATAACGGGTGCCAGTCTCTAGGGCCAAGTAAAACATCCGAGGTTTCCTCTCTCGATCATAAGAGATTCACTTGCGTTTAGTTGGTGTCGATATAATGCCCTGTTGGTAACATCACAATCTTGTAACAATTCACTCGTGGCATGCTTAAATCACCTGTGGAATCGACCGGGTTAATTCACTCACTTAAAATCGAAGCAACCGGGAAAGATGCCTTCTTAGTGCCAATACTTGTCTGAAAGCCTCCTGTCTCTATTACAATCGTTTTGACTCAACTGGAATATCACCATGGAATACAATTAAATTAACTATTATCCGTTCATCCGATTTCGACACAATTTGTGAAATCTAATTTTGTTCAACACGT